AGGAGAGTTGAGGGACAGCAATCAGCAGGTGAGAGGGGGCGATGAAGCTAAGGGGGCGAGCGGGAGGAGGAGGACAAAGGGGGAGAGGGAGGAGGAGGAGGAGGACAAAGGGGGAGGGGGAGGGGGAGGACAAAGGGGGAGAGGGAGGAGGAGGACACAGGGGGGGGAGGAGGAGTTGTGGGAAGCGCTGACGAGGAGCAGGACGGGAGAACGAGCAGGAGAACACGCGGAGGCCCATGACGGCACCTGCTCGTGCTGGGGGCCTGCGCTTGGCGTCAGGAGCTGCGCGGGTGACGAAGCAGACGAACATGCCGACGACAAGCAAGACCGCCAAGAGAGCGTGAGCCTCCTGCTCCTGCTCCTGCTCCTGCTCCTGCTCCTGTTGTGCTCCTCCCTCCTCCTCATCCTGTCCTTTTCCCCTTGCTTTTGTTTCATTCGCTCGCTCATGCCCGCTCAGAGCAGGAGGATGGAAGTGAAAAACTTCATTGTCCAGCACAAGGAAACACACTCTACCATGAACTAGGAGGAGGAGGAGGAGGAGGAGGGACTATATAGAGACGATCTGCTTGAGGGAGGACCTGAATGACATCCCTCGCTTGAAGCTTCTCGCTTTCTCCATCGAGCTCCTCGCTGACCCTGTGATATCCGTCTCCACCTCCTTCTCTTCCTCCAAGCTTTGCCCCTTAGGTGACTTGGTCTCCTTGGTGAAACTCGCTCTCTTCTTCTTCCTCCCCATCGCTGACGGCAGCGGCGTCATCATGGGGCTCGGAACCACTCTCGTTGCCCTCAGCAGGGACCGAGCTGGGTTCTCCTGCTCAGGTGTGCTGGGGTTGTCATCCTCCGTCCTCGTGTGCTCCCCGTCGTTGGTGTAGGAGTTGCAAGCTGAAGTCGAGCTGGACTGTTTCTCGCCTTCCTCCCTCAGCGACCCGCTCTGCCCGAAGTCTCCGAGGAAGCGCTGCCTCCCGAGCTCGAAGTTGCCGTTGCCGTTGCCGTCATGCTCAGCGTTCTTCCCCCACTTTCCCTCCACCGCCACGAGCTCGTTGCCTGTGAAACTCTCCAGCACCTCCCGTGACCTCGTTGAGATGGAGGGGGTCGGGGCGTGACGCATCGGAGGAGGAGGAAAGGCGGAAGCAGGAGGAGAGGCCAGAGCGGTAGGGGGGAGCGGAGCGAAGGATGCAGGAGGAAGAGCAAGCGATGCAGGAGCGAGGGAAGCGAAAGCGATAGGAGTAGGGGCGACGGTAGAAGGAGGAGGAGGAGGGAATGAAGGAGGAGGAGGAGGAGGGAATGAAGTAGGAGGAGGAGGGAATGAAGTAGGGGGGGGAGGAGGGACTGAAGTAGGAGGAGGAGGAGGAAAAGAGCCGCTTCTCCGTAGTGTCGTTTGCTCTGACGCTGAGCGGAGGAAGGCAAGGCTTTGCACGCTCATAATCGATTGCTTGCTCCTGCCCGATCCCCCGTGCACGTCAAGCGAAAGAGGACGAGCACGAGCAGCTGCGTCTCCGTTGCCGCGCTCGAGGGTGTGAAGGAGCTTGGCGAACCGTCGCTCCATGTCCTCTCGCAGCTTGTGAACCTCCTGCAGCACCCGATCCTCCTTGTCTCTCGCGCTCGGGGGACCGTCGGAGGTCCGCGAGTTCTTCTTGACTTCCCGCAGCAGCTCGTGGGTTGAGCACTCGAGGAGCTTGAGCATGAGCATGCTCGCGCGAAACTCGTTGGATTCGGTCTCCGCCATGGCGTTTGCGAGCTGACGATGCGTGAAGCGCATGAGCTCTCCTGGGGCTGAGGTGAGAAGGCGAGAAGAAGAGGAACGGAAAGAGAGAGGGATCGAGAGGAGGGTGAGGAGCATCACAACAGGTAGAGAAGAAGGATGCCGATCGCGATGATGGTGGTGTGAGGGAGGAGGACGAGAAGCAGATGAACAAGGTGATGGCGATGATTAACAAAGCAGAGAGAAGTGCGGAGAAGAAGGAGGAAGTCAACCTTTCATAACGTACTGAAACTGATCAGCAGAAAACTCTCCTGCCTCATTGCAGTAACGGCCGTTTGCTGTTATGAGATCGAAATCATCCTGGTTTCCAAGTAAGAACCTTGAGTCTTCCTCCTCCTTTACTGCCTGTGCCTCCTTGCCTCCTATGCTTTCATTCCTCTTTCTTTCTCTCATCTCCGCATGCTTTCATTCCTCTTTCATTCTCCTATCTCCCTATGCTTTCATTCCTCTTTCATTCTCTCATCTCCTATGCTTTCATTCCTCTTTCATTCTCCTATCTCCTATGCTTTCATTCCTCTTTCATTCTCCTATCTCCTATGCTTTCATTCCTCTTTCATTCTCCCATCTCCTATGCTTTCATTCCTCTTTCATTCTCTCATCTCCTATGCTTTCATTCCTCTTTCATTCTCCCATCTCCTATGCTTTCATTCCTCTTTCATTCTCCTATCTCCCTATGCTTTCATTCCTCTTTCATTCTCTCATCTCCTATGCTTTCTCTCATCCAGTCTCCTCTCTCCTCCCCTCCTCCTGCGACCTTTGTGAGATGGATGGGCTTGGTTGTCGGAATCTTCTTCAGCCCCTTCTGAAACTCTTCGAAGTCAAGACCGCCCGACGCGTTTTCGTCTAGTCGCCTGTAGGTATCCCTGCACATTTGATGTTATTCTTTATAAGCCTTGCAACATTACTCTGCTGCTGCCTTGCCCTTCATATGAAACTCTCACTTTCATACATCTCCCGTTCTTCCACAGGCATTCTCGTCTCATACATTCACATCTCACCAAATCTTTGCTGACAAGTCGTCATTGTCGTTGAAGTACGCGATAGTAGCAGTGAGAGGATCCAAGACTCCGTTCACCCTGCTAGCCTGCAGTTCTTGCTCCTTCTTCGCCGCCTTCCTCCGCGCACTCTCTTCCTTCTCTGCCGTCACCGAGGACACAAACTCGTCCAGCAGGACCGCTACGACGATGTTGATCAAGACAATCCCTGCACAGAAGTCCCCGTCACCGATCCCCTCATCCTCGCTTCATTCTGCATGCCTGCTATGATGACGTAGCTGACGAAAAAGAGCGCGACTGCTACATCCACCGTCCCGTCCTCCTTGAAGAGAGTCCGAGTGACGGCTGAAGCCCAGCTGTCACCTGTCACTACCTGGAACATCTGGCACGATGCGTCACCGAGGGAATGAGGAGGGGGAGGTGCAGCAGAGGGGGAGGGAGAAGGGGGAGAGAGGGAAGGGAGAAGGGAGGACGGGGAGGAGCAGGGCAGGGGGAAAGGGAGAAGGGAGGAGGAGTCGAGGATGCTGATCAGAATCTTAGGAGAACTTACGGTGAACAAAGAGTCGATGAACCTTCCAAAGAAGACCGGGCTTCGGTCATGAAACACGTGCGTGCCCAGGGTAGCCCAGATGCACGTGACAAGAAGGAGAAGCAAGAAGCTGTTGCCCACGGGAGTGAGAGACGCAGCAAGCGCCTTAATGATTCTGTTGAGAGATTTCACTCTATTGAACAGGCGAACAACCTAAAAAGAAGTCAGGACGGAAGCGAGAAGAGATGGTACTTCATACGCGAAAAATTCTGACGAGGCGGAGAAGTTTGAGCTGTGGAAGGGTCTCAACAGCCTTCGTGAATATTCCCACGAACACGACAAAGGTATCAAAAATATTCCATCTGTCTCTGAAGAAAGGAGCAAAACAGTCTGAGCTTCGTGCAAACAGATTGACACAGAGCTCGACTGCAAACAAAAGAGTGAAGGCCCAGTCAGCATAGACGAACGCGTTAGCCCCAACTGTTCCATCAGCTGGAAGATATTGAGCTTCAAGGACATCCTGAAGCAAATCGTAAGTCTATCTCGCAGCGAGCAACTAGCCAGTCCACAGGTGTCATACCGCCAGGAAGCTTGAAGTGATGATAAAAGCGACAAGCAGCTGACTCTTGGTCCCCTCGTACGCCCTCAACGTGCGTGCGCGGAAGATTCGGAACTGGCTGTCCCCGTACATCTGAATGAACTCTCTCTCCACTTGCTGCTTCTTCGCTAGAGCAGAGAGCTCGTCCAACCTCTCGCACCAATCTCTTCCCTCGTCCAGCGACTTGGTCCGATGTATGTATTGCCTGCCGGAGTTGAAACCTCCCTCCTTGGTCATGATGCAGAATTCAAAGTAGCCGTGCTCATCTGCTTCGAAACCGTTATGAACAATCCCAACGATCTCATGCGTGGGAATAGAGTCGAGCACAACACTAGTGTCGATGCCGGGGGAAGGGACGTTAGAAAAGCACATGGCGTCTGCCGTGAGCACAACGCGGACTGGCTTCCAGACTGTGACGGCGGAGACGATCTTTCTTTCGAGTACACCAGCAAGGACACACTCGTAATCTTCCGGCACCTTGTCTGGTGAAACTCCAGTGAAAACATGATGTCCATGGGTTGCGTGCGTCATCCGGACCATGGCGATTCGGTTTTGAGGAGCAGATTGCAAGGGGAAACAAGAAGATTCACCACAAGATCGAGATCAGACAAATGCCTTGAGCTGAGAACAGAGCATGTCTATAATTCCGATCTGCAAGAGAATTTCAGAATGATGAAGAAGGATGTGAATGAGCTACTGTTTCTAAACGTTTTACATCCTTCTCCATCACATGATCCAGCCTCGCAGGCACATCTCTTATCATCCCGACTATTCAACTGTTATAGATGAAAGTTGCAGATACAAGAAACGTAAGGAATTCAACTCTTTGCACCAGGTGAGCAACATGTTCAACATGTCTGCTGTTCTTTGCATGGAACGCTAATTAAGCGGTAGAAGGCATGTTGTCCCCTAGCAATCCTTCTTTCACGCATCTTTAGCACTATAATAAATCTTCAGCACTATTATACATCTTTAGCACTTAAAAAACATCCCGAAGCATTTCAGCAGCTCATCTTTTCGCAGCACACAGTAAATCGACCATCTAGTCCATATCTTGCGTAAACACTTCATCTACCAGACCCGCCTTCACACGAATGACCCAGACAGCCATACGAGGCTTCGCCGTCAAACCTGTTCTCCGCCTCTATCTCATCCCTCCTCCTCCTCTCCTTCCTGCCCCCTCTCGTTCTCCGACCATTAGATAGCGATCCGCATGGCTGACTACAAAGGAAAGCCAGCAGCAGGAAATTGTCTCAGGGAATGGGGGGTGGAGAGCACTTGGACCGGGTGGGGGGTCCGTGAGGTAAGAGTGATGGGGTAGGGTAGGGTAGGGTAGGGTAGCGGAGTGGCTATAAAGGTGGGTAGTGGTCTGCGAGTGTTGTGGGGAAGCGGATAATGGGATCGTTCGTTTGCTCAGCATGTTCAATTAAGTATTTAAAAATCCCTTTAAATAAATAAATATTCAGATAAAATTTGAAACTTGTCGCATAATTAACCAGCGATGTTCCAGGTCCCGAACCATCCGTGCAAAAGTTGATCCGAGCAACGAAATGTTCACCCTAGGGGGTAGGGTCCTCGGATAAAAAAATATTTGACACACCAATGACCCCCACCACCACCTTGCACCCTCGACCTTGCAATTGCCTTGCCCTACCCCATTGCAACGTACCCTAAGATTGACGTACCCACCCCCACTTTTACCAACGAGGAGCTCAGATCCCACCGGGTGTCTCTCCTCTGTGACCAATGCATTCCGATGGGGACCCCCCCCCCCATCAGTGAGTCCTGGCCCGTGAGGGTATCATACCACCCGGTACCCACCCCTCGATGTTGCAGTCGGAAGTTTCCATTTCGAGTCAGAGGTACCCCACCCTCTGAAAGACTGAACTGAACCCACCTCCCTTCCCTCCCTGTGTACCAATGCAAAAATTCCACTAATCAGGACCCCCCCACCCTGCGACTCACCATTACACCCCCTCTTTCTAGGCTCTCCACCCCTTTCCCCAAGTGGTACTGAAATTGACCGACGGACCGTCAAGTAGGACCCTGCCTCCTCAAGTTCTATCCGCTGCCCCCATCAGCACCGGGTCAACCGGGTACCCTCACCCTTGCGATGGACCCGTACACCCATAGAGTTATTGAGGTTGACCCCGATACAGCAGCTAGAGGCGCTCATGCGGCTCTTTCAATATGAAACTACATATGCTTTTCTTGAGGTATACCCCCCTACCTAAAATACTTACACAAGGAGAGGGGTGGGTAAGTTGACAACGAGCTCCAGGGGTGGTTGAAGTATTCAAGTAGCTCTTTTTAAAACTTTTGAAGTAAAGGAGCTGAGCACTCGGCCAGCTTCAGGTGACCGTTATAACCGTCAACGGCGGCGTCATACGGTTCCCGTCCGTATCTAGCGGCCTCCCGGGACTCGGTCGGAAGCCGGGCTGCCTGTTGCCGCGGACGCAGCGGGGATCCCTTCCACTGCCGGCGACCAGTCGCGATGATCTTTCAAGCGGCCGTCCTAAGCGGTCACTGCCGCCGCCGTCACCGGTGCCACGGGGGGCCGGCCCTCACGATCCGATCGGCGATGGGCGATGACATCGCCGGGAAAACTTGAAAGTGAAAGCCTTCAAGGTGTTCAAGGTACGTCCGACCGTACGGTCTCAGTGGTCGGGCCTCAACTTGAAGTTTCCACTGTTTCTTCCAAAGTCTCGAAGTTTCAATTGTTTTTTCCCAAAGTCTCAAAGTTTCAATTTTTTTTTTTTCAAAGTCTCAAAGTTTCGCAACTCTTCGGGGCATGAGATGAACAAGGGGGACGGGGAGGGGAAGATGAGGAGGAGAGGAGAGGAGAGGAGAGGAGAGGAGAGGAGAGGAGAGAGAAGAAGGGAGGGAGGGGAGGGGAGGGGAGAGAGAAGAGAAGAAGGGAGGGGAGGGGAGGGGAGGGGAGAGGAGGAGGAGATGAGGTCCGATAAGCTCATGATGGGACCGGATGAATATGATGAGGTGATGGGATATCATAGAACATGACAAGAAAAACAGAGGGGAGAAGGTATTGCGCGGGAGGCAGGGGAGGGCAGCTGGTTGAGGATGCAGGGGAGAGAGGGAAATTGTGTAGCGCAACACAATGATGTTAGTTAGAGGATGAGATGGAGGTTGAAGGAGCCTGCAGACAGTGCTTGTTGCATGCCATGTAGTGATCCAGATGCCGCAGGAGGGGTCGGCACAGACAGGAAGCGACCAAGTATGTTCTTCTAGCTGCTGTCGATCTAAATGGAAGTCGTCTCCAACGGCCCACCCAATGGTCCCTTGTCCGCAAAGCTCTCGACAACGGCCAGCAGCGCGCAGGTATGCCCTCGTCGTGCCTCTGTGTGTTAGAGACATGATGGTGATCGCGCAGGCGGGGGTTGGCATCGTATTCCAGCCCACTGACGATGGGACGCTGTTCGTGAAGCGCTTTCTCGAGGGATCTCCTGCAGAAAGGTGCGAGGAGAGAGGGCAGGGCAGGGCAGGGCAGGGGAGAAGAGAGGAGAGCAGAGGAGAGGAGAGAGGGGAGGAGAGAAGAGGGGAGAAGAGAAGAGATGAGAGGGGAGAGAGGGGAGAGGAGAGGAGAGAGGGGAGGGGATGGGAGGGGGGCGAGGTTTGACCGAAAGGAGCAGGAGCGGTCTCATCCATCCGGGAGACTGCTTATGCGAGGTGAATGGCAAGGATGTTTTCAGACAGCCCATGGACTACGTCAAGTCGCTGCTGATGGGTGAGGACACGAGACAAGATCGCTCTCAGCTGTGACTGATCCTCCTCCAGGTCCTCCAGGCACGACAGTCCGTCTCGGTTTCCACAGGCAAGCTTCCTCCTCCCTTGCCAGGCCCTTGAGACTGACGGGAGCAGGGGCACGGACCCGCGTTCTCCTCTCATTCAAGTCGCGCTGCATCGCATGTTGCCAGGTGGGAGCGGCGGGGGAGCAGGGGAGAGCTGAGAGCTGAGAGCTGGTGGTGCTGCAGGAGAAGAGCTAGTGGGCGTCGGCATCATCTTCCGCAGCGATGCGACTGGCTCCCTGTTTGTGCGGCAGCTTCAGGTCTTGTCCAGCCCTGGCCCTCTCGAGCTGACTTCCAGCTGACCCCTGGTCCAGACCGGAGGCCCAGCTGAGCTTTCGCGGGAGGTTGACAAGGAGCGGCGAGCTTGTAAAAGTTGACTTTGACGCCTCAGATCGAAGTTGGCGACTGCATCGTAGAGGTCAACGGAGTCGATGTCTTCCGCAAACCCATCTCAACCTTCACCAAGCTGATCCTGGGTAGAAGTCACCCTGATACTCATACTCCTGCTCCTTCTCCCTCCCTGATGCTGATACTCCTGCTCCTCCTACCTCCCTGATGCTGATACTCCTGCTCCTCCTCCCTCCCTGATGCTGATACTCCTGCTCCTTCTCCCTCCCTGATGCTGATACTCCTGCTCCTCCTCCCTCCCTGATGCTGATACTCCTGCTCCTCCTCCCTCCCTGATGCTGATACTCCTGCTCCTTCTCCCTCCCTGATGCTGATACTCCTGCTCCTCCTCCCTCCCTGATGCTGATACTCCTGCTCCTCCTACCTCCCTGATGCTGATACTCCTGCTCCTCCTACCTCCCTGATGCTGATACTCCTGCTCCTCCTACCTCCCTGATGCTGATACTCCTGCTCCTCCTACCTCCCTGATGCTGATACTCCTGCTCCTCCTACCTCCCTGATGCTGATACTCCTGCTCCTCCTCCCTCCCTGATGCTGATACTCCCTGCTCCTCCCTCTCTCCCTGATGCTCATACTCCTGCTCCTTCTCCCTCCCTGATGCTGATACTCCTGCTCCTCCTACCTGGCAGTGGCGGTGGTGGCAGTGTTCCTTCTCCTCCGGATCCTCTCCACCAGCATCCCCATACTAGTTTCCTTGTTCGTCACCTGCCCTCCTCCTCCCACTCTTGTCTTGACGTTGTTTGTTTGTTTTTCTACCCTCCTTCTCCCTCTCTTGTCTTGACGTTGTTTGTTTGTTTTTCTACCCTCCTTCTCCCTCTCTTGTCTTGACGTTGTTTGTTTGTTTTCTGCCCGCAGGAGCCCCAGGGACTATCGTGACGTTGGGGTTCAAGCGAGGAGACTCGCTGATGATCAAGAGAGTTTCTCTACGGAGAAGGTGAAGACTCACACCACCACCACCACCTCCTCCTCCTCCTCCTCCTCCTCCTCCTTTGTTCTTCTCTTCTTCTTCTCTTCTTCTCCTCTTCTTCTTCTCCTCCCCCTCTCATCTTCCTTCCTCCGCTGCCACCTTTCTCTCGTCCTCACAACTTCCTTGATGCCCCCTCGTCCCTTGATCATATATCGTGCTCGTGCTCGTGCTCGTGCTCGTGCTCGTGCTCGTGCTCGTGCTCGTGCTCCTCCTGCTCCTGCTGTCCTCCTCCTCACCTCCTGCTCTGACTGGGCCTAGTCTGCCCCAGGGCTCGCGTAAGAATGCAATGGATCAGGATGAGATAGCAGGTGACGTGGCAGCGAACAGGAGGAGCGTCCAGCTGACTTTCAGCAGTGGTCCAGGAGACGAACATCAAGCTGAGGCAGGCTGTGGAGGAGGTGAGAAGCTCTGTTTCCTGCCCCCTCATCTTCCCTTCCTCCCATCCTTTCCCGCTTCTCCGCCCGCTGTCGCCCCCCCTGCTCCTCCTCCTCGCCTCTCCCGATCGCCTCTCATTCTCTCATTTCTTCGCCTTGTCGTTGACGATCATTCAAGGCCAAGGCAGAGCACGTAAAGCTCAAAACATCTTGAAGGAGAAGCAGGTGAGATGCCCTGCCTACTCCTGCTCCTGCTCCTGCTCCTGCTCCTGCTCCTGCTCCTGCTCCTGCTCCTGCTCCTGCTCCTGCTCCTGCTCCTGCTCCTGCTCCTCCTGCTCCTCCCCTCTCTTCTCCTCCCCTCTCCCCTCTTGCTCTTGATCCTCCCACTGCACCTTGGACAGTCACCGTCCTCTTACTGCTGTACAGGAGGCCGTCCAACAGCTCCATCGCATGTATGAGAGGGGAACGTCAGCCATGGGTGAGCGTGAAGAGGGGGAGGTGGGGGAGCAGGCAGAAGGAGGAGGCAGGAGGAGGAGGAGGAGGCAGGAGGGGGAGGGGGGGGGGGAGGGGGGTGGGGTTTCGTGCTCAAGTTCGTTATCTTGGTCTTTGCTGGTTCCTACTGTTTCCTAACTCTTCCGCCGCTCCTACACCCCCGGGGTCTTTATATTGCTCCACGACCAGTGCAGCGACTCCTAAGAGATGGGCACTTCATTCTATTCATGCTTATACCATTGACTTTTACAATCCTCGTGTGAATACCTTTTTCAATTGACCTTCTGATCCGTAGGTACTCGCACGACAAAGATACGCAAGTGCGTTTATTAGAATCTTGCTCATACCCCCACGCGTACGGATCCCGTGCGACTCTGCTCCTCAGTGAGCAGGCTGATGGGACTGCTGACTCGCCATCATCACCGCCTCCCTCC